CAGCCCGAAGATGCCTTGGCCGCCGCCTTCGTGTTGACGATGATGCTGTAGCTCGTCCTTGCCCAACGGGGCAGAGGTCGCCATGGTCGTGCGTGTCATCGTGTAGGAGTTGATGTTGCTACTGATGTTCATGCACACCTCGTCACCTACGCGCTGCCGCAAAGTGGAAGTAGTGGCCATCTGCGACAGGGGAGTGGGCAAGAAGTGGTGGTATGCCTGCGCAGCCGACGACGAAGGGCTGGGTGAGGCACCACCGACGTAGGTGGAGACAGAGGCGAAGAGGGGCTCGCAGTCGGAATCGTTGAAGGGGTCTTCGAAAAGCGGTGACGAAGATGCCGAAGATGAAATCGAAGATGGCGAAGCTGGGGACGAAGGGGACAGGAATGGCGAGGCTGGGGCAGAGCTGTTTGGTCGCAGTCGTGGCAGAGAGCGGTCGCCGAGTGGTGCACTGCCGCCGCTTCCTCCCTTTCTCTTGTTGTTGTTGGTGAGTACAAGTTGCTGCATCGTCCGCTCGATGCTGGCGGTTGATGTCTCCAACCGAACACGTTTCTAACCCATAGCCGAGTTTTGCATCTAAAAACTCCCATCGTGGCCGCGAACGCGACATGGCGAACAACATGTGCGCTGTCAAGATTAAGCGGGACAAGCCACGTGACAGTCAGTTGGCGGCCAACTACGCAAGAACGTTGCGCCGGAATGGCCACGCCCCGCCAAAGTAACCGTGGAGCACCCAGCTCACGGGCGGTTGGTGCGGCGTTCCCCCAGAGCGAGGAAGACGAGGATGAAGATAAGGGGGCGTGGGTGGTGAAGGGTGAGAGTCTTCTCTCTTCGTTCTCCCGGTGGCGATTATGTGGATTGGCTGGAGGTAGCGGCCTCTCGGGTTGTGGTGGTAGCATCGGCTGGAGGAAAGGGACCACCACGTACGACACCGGCCGCAGCGAGGCGTCGGTTGCGCTGCGAGGCGAGCATGTAGACCTTGAAGTTGGCGACGGCGGCGAAGGCGGCGGCAATGAGCGACGGCAAAACGATGTGTGGAGTGAAGGAAAGGAGGAGCGTGGCGACCAGCAGGTAGCCCACGTGGGTGGAGAGGATGTAGGCGTCGACGGTGGACGTGGGCGGCAGGTTCCTCTGCGTGAACAGGTTGTTCTGCGCCTCACTGGTGTAGGCCGAAAGCAGCACACGGTCCATGGCACGGTCCACCGCGAACACGCCCGCGAGGAAGCCGGCCGTGCCCAGCCCCGTCCGAGCAAATGTGCGTTTCGCCAACTGCAGCGACACGCCGCGACCGCACACGACACACGACACACGACACACGACACAACGCTGGCATGAGTGGGTGAACGAGCCAGGGAGCGGTTGTGCGGGGTACCAGCGCTCGGGCGGCCGGCATGATGGGCAGCCACTCGTTTGGCTGCTGTTGGCTCCACTTGCCGAATCGGCGGCCCATCCGCAGGAAGCCGTAGAGCGAGCCCACAGCCGCCGCCGTGCAAATGCCTACACGCGTGCCACCGGGAGAGGGCACAGCGTGAGAGAAAGTACTCCAGTAGAGTCCAATGCAAAAAGGGAGGGGGACCCATACCGATGCCCCACAAGCCGAGGTAGGTGAAGGGATCGTTCTTGATGCCGTAGGCCGCGGTGGCCGACCCGCGCAGCACGATCGGCCGTGTTCGCTCCGTGTGGTTTTGCATCGCCGCTAGTCCGCCTGCGCAGCCGTGGATCACCATCGTAAGAAGAGCGCACGCGTGCGCAGTGCTGAAGAGCGTCGTGAACCGTTCAGCTGGACAAGAGGAACGGTACCCGAAACAGCAACACCGGCCAGCACCGCCACCGAAAATTTGGGCACCGCGAGCAGCCCCACCTTCAATAAAATATTA